TTTTGGTTTACATTATTATAATAATGGTTGAATAAATATTGCATTTAATCGCATGAATATTATAATAATAACTCGTTTATAAGGTTTTATCATCATTTATTTTCAATGCACTTATTGTAATATTTCAAATCAGTTATGCGGTCAATATAATGGCATTTAAGTTAATGTTAAACTTATGGGCATTTTTAAAATAAAAACATTTCCGTAAATTTTACAAAAAATACAATAATTTCTACAAATTTCAATACATTTTATCGCTAATCGTTGCTCTAATTTAAAGTTTTATTAATTTTATTAAGTGTTTTACACAATAATAATAATAGCAATAATTATAATTAAAACAAGTGCTTAACTCATCCGGATATCATCATGTAACTTTATACGAGATAAACGTGTGAACATTGTATTAGAATAGAAATATGTGAACAATGTTTCATAATGGTTTTAAAAAGCATAAAACACTAATTAAATTAATAATTTTTACCCCCGTTTTGTTGAAACAAAACATGTTGGGTAATAAATTATAGACTAATATTATAGCTATACGGTAAAAATAAAATGCACAAACTCACCATACGCTATTTAATAGCATTTAATTGTCACATGTAGTGTACATAAATTTCAAAATACATTTTCAAAAAAATCTATACATTAAAGCAATTAAATGTCATTTCAGTTATGATTTATACATAGATTTTGTAATTATTTTTATATTTATTTTTAATATGAATTAAAAATCCTATGATTTAGACCCAAAATTAATAGCAAACTTAATATCCCATGTATAGCATACCGGAGCCCATCAAACAGCCCCTCATCGGTGACCATTAAATCTGAATTCCTGGCCAACTATAAGCACCGGGGGGTTAGCCCGCAGTCATCGTCGCCACCCATATCGCCGGGCGGGTCAGACCACTCGGACCACCACAACCACTACAGGGGCGACATAGGAGGCCCGGGTCTGCCCCATAACCATCACCAGTCGTCGCAACACAACCATCACCGACAGCACCGGCAACAACAACAACAACACCACCACAACCGCAACCATCACCCATACCGGCCGCCCAGCTCTACATCATCGGTGGGCGGCGGCGGCGACCGTGAGAGCCGGTGCTCGACAACCACACCCGCAGACAGGCCTCCATCGGCCGACTCGCCCGGTTGTCGCACACCGTCACCGCCGGCCACCCCTACGGCCGGCGCCGCCAACAACTCGCAGACCTCACACAATAGCCATAAGAAAAATGGCAAAATTAGCGCCAAATCCGAGCCCAACCCCTGCGCCGAGCTCTTGAAGGGGAAGTGCAATTGTCCGGAGCTCGAGCGGGTCGAGTGTCGGCTCGAGAATAAGGACCTGTGGGACAGGTTTCACGAGTTGGGCACCGAAATGATCATCACTAAGACCGGCAGGTATGGCCAGTATAACGCGCTGGTAGACCAAACCCCCCTACCAGTCCCTTCCGCACATCCCTCCCCCCAAAAATAATTATTACACAAATGCTGTTTATAATTAGTATTTATGTCTAGATTTTTGTTGCTGTTGTTGTCTTATATCGCTTATCGCTGTAACCATCGGTGTTTAGCCTCCGATATAAACGCACGAGATATTTATAAAATGAAAAATATAACCAATATTAATTAATAACGAATTTATGTGATAAGCGTATAAAAATATTTCGCACACATACACAACAAAAATCAACTTTATATCTATACATAATTATTATCTATAATCAAAAAGCGTTTAAACTAGATAATTTTCATACAAAATACACACACACAACAGTCAAAATGCCAAAATATTGATATTGGTAAAATCAAAATTAAACTAATTATATAATAATTACCATGTTGTAGACGGATGTTCCCAACAGTGCGGTGCTCGTTCGCTGGCATTGAGCTAGATGCTCGGTACGTGGCGCTCATGGACATTGTCCCTGTAGATGTGAAGCGGTACCGATACGCCTACCACCGCAGCTCATGGCTGGTGGCCGGTAAGGCGGACGCGCCGGCACCCATCAGGCTGTATATGCATCCGGACGCCCCCTTTACTGGCGAACAGTTGCGCAAACAAGTGGTCTCGTTTGAAAAGACCAAGCTCACCAATAATGAGATGGATAAAAGTGGTCATGTATGTCAATTTTTATGTTTATTTGCATGTTTTTTGCGTGTATTGGGAGCTCTGGTATGTCCTGTGCTGTTAGTGTGATTTGTAAGCTAGGGTTATGTATAGTTAGGGTTATTTGCAATAACTGTTTAGTTTTAGTTTTATTATTGATTAATATTTTTTTTGTTTAATTTTTTCAATAAATATATTAATATTATAAATGTATAAGAGTTTTCATTACATTCACAAGTGTTTTGTGTTGAATAGTGTTATGAATTGATGTGTAAAAACATGTGTTTGTATCGCATATACCTATAGTTAATTGTTTTGTAATTTACCAACACTTTGTTTGTTGAAATTTGAAAGTTATCGAGTTTAAATATATTGCCTGTTTTAGCATGTGCGCCTATTATTATTGCCTAAACATGATAATTTATTAACTATACAGTAGTTATTTAATATTAGCAACAAATACTTTTATACACATGTTAAATATTAATATTTTAATGTTTACCATAGATTGTGCTAAACTCAATGCACAAATACCAGCCCCGTGTGCACTTGGTCAAATTAAGGCCCGACTATCACTATAATGGCAATACACCGGTCATCAGTAATATCGAGTACCAACAGTACCGGACATATGTATTCCCGGAAACACAATTCATCGCGGTCACAGCCTACCAAAATCAGCTGGTTTGTACACACTATATGATTTATAGTTTTACCATAATGTTTATTATAAAATTTATAGTATTTAATGCTCTTTTATTTACCACATTCATCGAGAATATCTATATTTATATATAAATGTATTGAATAGTATTTTTACCACAAGTCTATTATTATAGATTTGAAACTGTAATTACATATTATGCAAGAGATATTTTTTGTGGGGTGTTTTAATAATATTAATTAACATTAATTTCTCTGCGTTATGTGATTTAATTCAGTACTATATAACTTATACTGTATATTAATGTATAGTTTATTCCCTAATAATGTACTTCACTATAACCCCATCCCTATGGGATGGCATAGTCATGTATGTGTGCGGTACAGACTATACAGGTATTTATATTCCAATATTGCTGATGATGGTAATAATAATTGCTGGAGTTTAATATAAAATGTTTTTAATAATTTATATAAAACTTTTTAGATATATATGTAATGAATATTTATTGAATTTTTTCGTTGCCATAAATCAGTTTCCGAGAGAGAGAGAGAGAGATTGACAACCCTTTAGCTAACCCTTTACTGTGATAACTATAATACACAACACTTTTTTATTACGATCATGATGTATATGATTATGTTGATGATGATGATGATCCAGGTGCCCCGAAAGTATAAATTCCAATCGATCTATATCATACTTGCCCATAGGGTTTATTAATACCCCGTTCCCGCCCTATCCCGCGAGTCCCTATGGTTAGTACACTATCTGCGAGATTAATGTAAAATAACAAACAAATTAACATTTAATGAAATATTTTATATAAAATATTTAGTGAAATATAAATCTCGACATTATTTTTATGTTTTTTTGTTGCTATAAATTACAGGGTGGGCGGAAAGTATGTATTATTTTAAAAAGCTAATAACTCGTAAAGTACAAGAGATATTTTAATCAAATTTTTTGCAACAAATACACAAAAGTATAGGATGACTGAATCAAGTTTTGAAAATGTTGGCCATCCATAGCGATCACGTGGCGGAGTCTAATTTCAAAATTGACCACCGCACTGGTAATCATTTCATATTTTAAAAGTGGTCATTAGGATTAATTAACACACGTAGAGCACCCATCCCGTATATTTACTTAAATAGTTGCACATTTGTTTTCATTTTAAACTATTAGTTTACAAATGGCGCAATTTTCAAAAAAGACATTTTTGACAAATATTTTTTCAAAACCGTGCCATTTGTAAAATATTAATTAAAACTGAAATAAAATTTAAACAACTATTTAAGTGAATGTATGTGATGTATATTCAGCGTGTTTTCATTTCTCGTAATTGCGACCTCTAAAATATGACATAATATGGCCAATTTTGAAATTTGACTCCGCCACATGATCGCTATGAATGGCCAACATTTTCAAAACTTGATTCAATCATCCTATACTTTTGTGTATTTTTTGCAAAAAAATTGATTAAAATATCTCTCGTACTTTACGAGTTATTAGCTTTTTAAAATAAGACAAACTTTCCGCCCACCCTGTATGATAATTTTTTCGTTAACTTTTTGTGTGAATTTTTAAATAGAAATAATTTGTTGAGAAAAACTAGTATTTATTAGTTGTTCACTAAAAACGGGTTATTTTTGTGTTTGTATTTTTACACAATATTTTATGTCATTTACCAATTATTTGAGTCTAATATCTAATGAATAAAATAATTGCATAATTAGTTACATAGTTATATATTAACCAAAATGTGTTTTAATTAATTCATTTAATTAATTAATTGTATGTATTTTTGTACACAATTATAGATAACAAAACTGAAGATCGATAGCAATCCGTTTGCCAAAGGGTTTCGCGATTCCAGTCGTCTAACAGACCTGGAAAGGTATGAAATGTAAATACACACAATTTTTTTACCTTGTTATTAGTTGTATTTTCATGCTATTTCATTATAATTATATAAATAATTTTCTCCCCCGATGCTAACCCTATTGATTAAGTTGTTTTCTCTTTCTTACCATAATTATTTATTCATATTTGCGGCCAATAATTATTATTAACAATAATAATAATGAATATGTGCTGATCCTATGCCAGACCCATGTTTATTGATTGCGTTAACTTTATTATAAAGTGTGCTACACAATTAGCTCACGATATTTTACCCTATGGTAATTATTTTGATCCATATGATGGTCGTACTGTAATATTATTAATATTGAAACTAATTAATTTAATTAATTCAACCAAGTTTTGGCAATTGGCGGTTAGTCCCTACCTATATCTGTAAAATATAATCATTATGGTTTGTTTTTTCTGTTTGTTTGGTTTTGTTTTTTATATAGGAGTTCACTATTGAATGAGTTAACTATACTTGTGTTTGTTTTGTATGGATTAAGTCATTATAACATTTAATACAAACACTGCACACGTTATGATTATAATAGTATTTTTGTGTTTGAATTTAAATGAATATGATTATCTTGTTTTCTTATTGTTTAAGCTAAATAAATATGATAATAGTTATGTTTCAATTATGCTAGTTGCACTTTTTAATTTGATTGAGGGTTAAGTCATGCACCTTGATTAAAATGTTTTTTATTTTTGTTTTGTGCACAAAAATATATTTTACATTAAAGCAAATTATCACTGAATCCGATCCAAAGAGTGTCTTATCTCTTGCCCTGTGTTTGACATGACATCCAGTTTTGGTATTCATAGCCATTCGCTGTAGACATTGGGATATCATTTAAAATAACTATTTGATAATATATAAGCCATTATGGTATTTATGTATCAAAATCTCTCTCTCTCTCTCTCTCTCTCTCTCTCTCTCTCTCTCTCAGAAAATAACTTTAAAATCCATAAAAACTGAACCAAAACTTCTATAAACACTTAAAAATTACTTTTTAAAAAATCATAAAAATGATGATAATTTTGAAAACACATGTCAGATAACAAATACTTATTAGAAAAAGTTGTTTTATTAGTTAATATAAATATTTTAAGAATTTTTCCCGGGATCACTTTCCAGGAATAACACCTGTGTTGTTTTTACAAAAGTTTTTACGTGTTAATTATTGGACTGTAAAAAAGTTTGTAGGTTATTATTTTTAAAATAAAGGATCTATTTAAATTTTATTGTTTTAGTTCCCATACACCGACACTATCCACTCAAACCGGGCCAACCCCTGCCCTACACTATTTGTCTATCAATTATAACAGACAATATTAAAGCATAACATATATTAGGGATATGTCTGTGAGAAAAGGGTTATAAAAGGATTTTAAATAATATATATAAGTATTTTTCAACAGAATTTATAGTGTATTTCCAGAGAAAAATTATTATGGTAAAAGATTTGCGCCAACGCTGTAGGTCTCTCTCTCTCTCTCTCTCTCTCTCTCTCTCTCTCTCAGAAAATAACTTTAAAATCCATAAAAACTGAACCAAAACTTCTATAAACACTTAAAAATTACTTTTTAAAAAATCATAAAAATGATGATAATTTTGAAAACACATGTCAGATAACAAATACTTATTAGAAAAAGTTGTTTTATTAGTTAATATAAATATTTTAAGAATTTTTCCCGGGATCACTTTCCAGGAATAACACCTGTGTTGTTTTTACAAAAGTTTTTACGTGTTAATTATTGGACTGTAAAAAAGTTTGTAGGTTATTATTTTTAAAATAAAGGATCTATTTAAATTTTATTGTTTTAGTTCCCATACACCGACACTATCCACTCAAACCGGGCCAACCCCTGCCCTACACTATTTGTCTATCAATTATAACAGACAATATTAAAGCATAACATATATTAGGGATATGTCTGTGAGAAAAGGGTTATAAAAGGATTTTAAATAATATATATAAGTATTTTTCAACAGAATTTATAGTGTATTTCCAGAGAAAAATTATTATGGTAAAAGATTTGCGCCAACGCTGTAGGTCTCTCTCTCTCTCTCTCTCTCTCTCTCTCTCTCTCTCTCTCTCTCTCTCTCTGTCAAACTGACCGGGATGTTAGTGTTTGGGCGGTACACCCGATTATATACATAATCTTATAATGTATATACTTATACAGTATGTGTTGTGTGTTAAGTGAATAAGGTGGTATTTATTTTTTATTTTATTTCACTGATGGTTAGTTTACAAAGAAAAAGCACTTTAATAGCCCGCTGTACGCCCGCTGCGATCATAATGCTTTTTGCCCCCAAAAAAATTTAAAAAAGTTTTTTCTTTCAATGTATTTTCAATTTGAATTTATTTATTATTTTTTTGCTAAATATTTTCCTAAACGCTTAATAGATATTTTATGTGCAAATGTCCATTAAATAAAGCACCGGTGACTACAGGTGCTAACCCATGGTCTGAAAGGGTACTATATTTTGTAAAGTAATTTATTTAAACACATTTGGCGTGAATTTTATTAAAATATTTTATCACTTTTACACTTGATTTTCAGTGTATTTGTTATTATTATTTATTTTTTCAGCGCATAATTTATATTGGGTATCGATTTATTACCATGAGTATTTGTCAGCGATTTTTAGTGCACAAAAAACATGGTTATTTTTAGTTCACATTATAGATCATGTTTGTAAATTATGTTTAGCGCACTTGAAATCTGTTTATTTATGTGTTTTATTATATGCTTTTGTCGGATAGTATTGAGAGTTTAATTTGTTTTTTTGCTGAGAAAACATTTTTTTTGTTGAGTATATGTTAAACCCCTTTTGTGTGAACACATATCAACATAATTCATTGAGGTTTTATTGTATGTACACTTATGGCGTGGGTATTGTATGTATTGAATAGTGTACTAAATCTGTCTCTCTTAAGATCTCTCTCTCTCTCTCTCTCTCTCTCTCTCTCTCTCTCAAACTGACCGGGATGTTAGTGTTTGGGCGGTACACCCGATTATATACATAATCTTATAATGTATATACTTATACAGTATGTGTTGTGTGTTAAGTGAATAAGGTGGTATTTATTTTTTATTTTATTTCACTGATGGTTAGTTTACAAAGAAAAAGCACTTTAATAGCCCGCTGTACGCCCGCTGCGATCATAATGCTTTTTGCCCCCAAAAAATTTAAAAAAGTTTTTTCTTTCAATGTATTTTCAATTTGAATTTATTTATTATTTTTTGCTAAATATTTTTTTAAACGCTTAATAGATATTTTATGTGCAAATGTCCATTAAATAAAGCACCGGTGACTACAGGTGCTAACCCATGGTCTGAAAGGGTAGTATATTTTGTAAAGAAATTTATTTAAACACATTTGGCGTGAATTTTATTAAAATATTTTATCACTTTTACACTTGATTTTCAGTGTATTTGTTATTATTATTTATTTTTGTTCAGCACATAATTTATATTGGGTATCGATTTATTACCATGAGTATTTGTCAGCGATTTTTAGTGCACAAAAAACATGGTTATTTTTAGTTCACATTATAGATCATGTTTGTTGTAAATTATGTTTAGCGCACTTGAAATCTGTTTATTTATGTGTTTTATTATATGCTTTTGTCGGATAGTATTGAGAGTTTAATTTGTTTTTTGCTGAGAAAACATTTTTTTGTTGAGTATATGTTAAACCCCTTTTGTGTGAACACATATCAACATAATTCATTGAGGTTTTATTGTATGTACACTTATGGTGTGGGTATTGTATGTATTGAATAGTGTACTAAATCTCTCTCTCTCTCTCTCTCTCTCTCTCTCTCCTCATCGCCCTCTCACTCGACACCCGCTAAGAGGCGGACAAATATTTGCACCCAAAGAATCCGCATAATTCTCTCTCTCTCTCTCTCTCTCTCTCTCTCTCACCATCTTCAGGTATTTTTCATTACACAGAATATACTGTATATTATGTTACAGCAAATGCTGGGAATAGGATAGGAAAATATTATTGTTATTATTATCTCTCTCTCTCTCTCTCTCTCGTAGTCAATCGGATGGCAATAGTAATAATAATAACAATAATATTTTCCTATCCTATTCCCAGCATTTGCTGTAACATAATATACAGTATATTCTGTGTAATGAAAAATACCTGAAGATGGTGAGAGTGTAATAAATTATGGTGTTTTATGGCCATCCTGAAACATTCTCACTCAACTAACCCTGCCCATATTTTTATTTGTATATATGTGTGTAACTGATAATTACATTTAGATTTATATGTGTTTGTGTTGTATATTGTTATGGCTGTTGTTGTCATTGCTTTCAAGATCTCCACCTATTTTATTGTCTTAATGTTTGCCATTCAATAACCCATTCCTTACACAATATAAAGTATATGTTTAATATATTTCAATATGGTTGCCGACAGAGAGAGAGAGAGAGAGAGAGAATGTCAGTTGAGGCCAATTATCTANATATTTGTCCGCCTCTTAGCGGGTGTCGAGTGAGAGGGCGATGAGGAGAGAGAGAGAGAGAGAGAGAGATCAAAAAGTTTTAACAACATTTATATATCAGTAAAACTAATGATAAAAGTTTTGTAAACTTTTTTGTTTGTTTCTCAAGAATATAATATTCTGTTGTTTTCAATAGTAATAAATATAGTCAACAGACATATACTATACGTAATGAGAAATATTTATTGTATGTGTAAAGTATACCGTATATAATGAACCGACAAAAAGATCATCAGTAAAACTCTTTTTGATAACCATTTATTATATTAGTTGTAATTTAGATAATTGGCCTCAACTGACATTCTCTCTCTCTCTCTCTCTCTCTCTCTCTCTCTCTCTCTCTCTCTCTCTCT